CTTTTCTACACTTTTTCAATGCTACCAATTGCTTCTGCACAAGCCTTTATCAACATGCAGAGTTGAATGCTATTCTCTATCGATGAAGTCTTCCCTAACTCTTCAGTTGCCCACAACAGTTTCTTCTGGACAGCGTCTACTGACATGCCTGCTACTTCTGTTGTTTCTCCCCACTCGTCTGCTGGTGAGTACACGTGGCTCTGACTGGCCGAGCTGACCTGTTGTGGCGCACTGGACACAACAGCTATCGGATTAACTGACGTGAGTCTGTTCCTGGGTACGGTGTCTTCCTGTTGGCTGACGTTCCTGGGCGGTGAGGCCACGTGGTTGATGACAGGCTCCTGTCCCGAGGAGGCCAGGTCCTTGGCTGCTGTGGCGTACTGGGCCTCTCGATGCAGGCCTCGAGCTGCTACTTCACTTACAGCTGGATCAACAAGGATTCCACGAAATTTGTTTTAACATAGTGACAAATTGTGCTACATAAGAAAAAAATGATCCCATTTTTTTCTAATTAGAAAAAAAAGTTTGGTAAAGCATAGACTGGGCAGAGGTTAAGCAACAAAAATTATTTTCATATAGACTTAATCACCAGTCACAAAGAATCTAAGTACATGTACTGTATAACACTATATACGTTGGCTATCATTTAAACCTTAAGGGGGGAGATGACACTCAACCATATATATTAGAGAATACATGTAGATGTACACATAGAACCATGCCATCCTCACCTGGATTATCCTTGTCATGATCAGATTCAAGTTCATTACAGGCCACACAGTAGTCAGCTCCCTGCTTGTCCCTCAGCAGAATACACTATACAGGGAAGAAATATGGTAAGTAAATACAGATGTATTAATGTACATTATTTTAAACATATGACTGTGCCACAGTTGATGTGTATTTGATCTTCACTCATCCAGATCCAATAATAAGTATTTTATGTAGCATTCCGACATCTGAATACAGTACTCAGTACTGCTCACCCCACACTCCTCACAGTTAGTACCCAGCATCTTCCACCCCTTCAGTAGGTAGTCTCCCATCCGTTTGCTGATCTGGTCATTCCGCTCCCGACGTGCCTCAATCACCTTCAAGTCAGCCTCTGATGGCGGCTGCCAATCATAATCATCTGGGTCTGACAGTGCAAAACATATAAAACATATTAATATGTAAGAAGGGACTATTTTAGTGCTATGTATGTATGTGGAAACTTCAGCTGTCAAACTCCTACACATTCAAGAACCCAACACACTTACTGTGAAGAATATTTCAGGGTGACCCCATTTTTGGGGTGACCCAGTGTGCCTGACCAAATCACAGGTCCATGCCTGCTTTCTCAATCTGTTTACAACCAATGGCCAAAAATGTCAAAATAAATATAGGTCATGGCATGTATCATAGTATGTAATCTCCAAGCAGATGGTGGGAGGAGATGGTTTCACACAGGAAAGGGCAGATAGGAAAACATGGCGGTTTTAGCCTTCCCCAACAGCTGCTAACAAATTAGCAATTCTATCATATCTATTATAATGAAGTTCAACGCATACAGGAAGTTGAACACTAACACTATGTGTATGCCTGTACAGCTGTAGCTAGCTTTAGAATAACTAAAAGTGGTAAAAACCTAAAAGTGCTATATTTTCTGTCTGAAGTGCATTTAGTAGATTATGTAAGTCCAAAACGAAAGAAAACATGGAACAACCATACAGTACTACAAGTCATGGGCACATGGGCACAGGCCTGGGTCTTAGCATGGAGGTACCTCCATGGTCTTATGTAAAAGAAAATGTTTCTGTTTCAAACTACACAATCTTGGTTAGATATGGTTAGATAAATGTAGAAACTATATTACCGTATAATAATATACTTACCGATATCGTGGGAGTTCATGCTTGAATTTGATTTTGAGGAACAAAAACGCAGCAGCAGGAAATGTGCGCGCAGCACCACTTTTGTAACCTTTGACCTGGTAGAATACATTGCAGTTGGAGGGTTGGGGTAGTATTTCATCATGTAATAAAGTACTAGAATTGTCATTAGTGAATGAAAAATCAATACTTTTATGGATAAAGAATATAACAAATAAAAATTTATATATGCTTCATAAATGATATTTTCTTGTTACTTTAACGATAAAAGAAACCCCCATCTTTTAGTGTAATCGGCCAGATGGTATCAAAATGTAGAAATCCTCTTTTATTTGTCTGTTTATAATAAAAAGAAAACTTTAATAAGAAATATACGTCAATATTAACTATTTTTAAAAGCTAGTCTAAACACGTCTATTTCAGTTTGTATGAATGCTATTGAATACTTTGTTGAAGATTCACGTTTCCATGCGGTGTGGACCATCCCGCCGAATTTGACTGTGCCAGAAAAGTAAAATGTTCACACCGAGAAGCCAGGCGACTCGGCCCAAATTCTCCCCCTTCACGGCCGGGAGGGTGACCAGAAACACCCCTTCGGGCAGGAGAAGTGTCGGGATCTTCACTCCGGGCAAGAGATCTCCTTTCGTGGGCAGGTGAGTCAGTGTAATCGAAGATACAGTTCGCGAATGAAGCACATGTTGCTATAAATTATTTCGCCCTCCCCAAGTTCCTCCTTCATGATTTTGCCCCAGTGTTGCCAAAAAATATTATGTCATGGATAATTTGAAGCGTATCAACACTGGTAACTCTGATTTCCATTCAAGCTAATTGCTGCTTGACTTATGTTTTGACTCAACTGCTGATGGTGACAAATGTGGTTGTTGCATGCAGTAGCTTTTTGTTCCGAAACAAATTATATATAAATAAACTGGACACAGTACATAACATGTGTCTCCCCTGTTGCCCCTGCATAACCCCTAATTCCTACATCTGTAATGACACTTCTCTAATATTGTGGTAACAATTTGTTTGTATGTTTTGCTGTCATTTCTTCAGAAGCCCAGCCCAGAACCGTAGCCTGAATGCCTCATCCATTATAGAGGAGACTACAGGCCATGTGGTGCAGAGTTATGGGTCATCTCTACCTGTCCTGGTCACTGAGGCTCTCACACTGGCTGACCGTCAGTATACAGCTATTTATTTACTCATTGCATTTGGATGAATGATTAATTGAATAATATAATACTAGTAATATAAAACATATTCGACATGTTATCATCTTAAAAGTTGTTAATTTCTTTCATTAGATCATAACAGTTACATACTAGTACTTAAAATTATTCTTAGAGACTGTAATTGAAGGATGATTATTGAATTCAATGATTGAATTCAATGATTGATGATGATTGGATTGAATGATGATTCTGACTGTATGGTGTTGTTTCTATCCTAACAGGAGATACAGAACTGAGTGTTCACCTGGGTGAGAATGGGTGGGCCTGGCTGGTTTGTGACAGGAAACTCTTCATATGGCGGTTCAAACAAGGGATCACAAAGGTAATGTTACATGTACTTGAATATGTACTCGTACATTTGATACTAGTATTTGTTAGTAAGTTACAGTTGAAATATGGTACCAGTGTCCTGTCACGAAAGGATCATTAGTGCACTGTCCCTAATGATTTGTAATGTTGTATTTCAGTCTGCGTTGTGTAAGGAACTGTCCCTCCCACCGAGTGACCTGTCCCACAGTGCAGACCTGGTCAGTGTCCAGCCCAGCGGTGATGGCCACGCCGTGTCTGTCATGGTGGCCTCGCCGGAGGGGATCGTCCGTTACTGGCCCAGTCTGGCCCACGAGGGCTCGTGTGTGGAGATCAGTGCTGAGGTGAACGGGGAGGAGTGTCTCTGTCTTACATCATGTCAGGTGAGGCCTTTCTATAAGAGTATCAACAATGCAACAGTTTGTATCAACAATGCAGCCTAGTATCAAACTTCTGTCATGTAAATCTTTGTTTCAACACAAGTATAAGTCAACTCATGGAATTTTCAACTGTCTTTACTGTAGTCTTTAGCAGGCTTGGCTGCTGAACATTGAATCACTTACATGTAGGATATGTAATTACATTGAATGCTGTCTTGACCTGTTTCCTTAAACGAATTGCCTATTTTGACAGATACATCAATGTGTATGTAACGTTATATGTATGACTGCCACAACATGCACTTTTCTTACCCATTTTTTTGCTTTGGTTCTCTTCAGCCTCAAGGATATGTCCTTGCCACAGTGTCTGGGCAGCTCCTGCTGTTAACACCAGCATCAGTGGCAGGACAGGTGAGTGTCACAGATTTTACAGTTCTTTTTTACTTGATTGGACAATCAACTAATGTAATTATAATGTAACACACATAGTCTGTAGGATCTTGTTATGTCTATACTGTTTGTACACCAAGACTTAGAATTACAGAGAAGTGTTCTAATTAATATTTTTTCAGACCACAGTAAACAGCAGGATACTGCAGGTACCACGAGGTATGTTTGCTGGGATAGGGAGGAGGGTTTCCTCACTGTTTGCCTTTGGAGCCCAGCCTGCAGAAGCCACTGGAGGCACTACAGTAAGTATAGCATAGCATCTGTACTGCACTTCTACTGTCTTCTGCTAGGTGTCATGCATGCACTGCAAAGATAAGTCTTTTGCTAAAAGTTTTAGTTTTACTACCTTTTTGATGTCAAATTGATTGATTCTTTAAACTTGTTTTTTTTCCATTTTTAGATATCAAGAGTTCTGTCTGGGCAAGAAACAGGCGAGGACACAAGGTGATTTACCTATAAATGACTTGAAAATTCAAAAGATGCATCATCCAAACTATGTCATAACTGTAATAAATTTTGTAGCTTTTTCCAGAGTAATGAATGTTGTTTTGATTTTTTTTGTGCCTCTTTTAGGTCCCTGTACATCCTGACAGGAAACTCACTCCAGAAGTGGGAAATATCCGACACAGGACCAGACAAGGTATTATGTACTACCATCTTGTTTTGTTAGACATTATGCATGTACTGCCAAGAAATTATGTACAGTTTCCTTGGTAAGCCTGGTACACCATGCAATTGATCTTGATTTGCCTTTCAGGTCTTGTTTGAATGTGAGCTTGGTGAGATGCTGAGGAACAATGCAATTCAAGCCATCTGGGTAAGTGAACACAATTTTATTCAACTGTATACTAAAAATTAGAAATATACATACTACGAAACACATTATTTCCAAACTTATTAGAACCTTGTCCTCATATTAGTTTTGACCTTTGGAATAGTCGTTGTCAGTGATGTACATACTGGCAAATGAGGGAGATGGAGAGAGAGTAATTTTGAAATAGTGCCCTATTACCAGTACAGTAACCAATAGCCTTATGAAGGTGCATGTAATTTCCAGGGCTCGTCACCAGATGTTGCTGATGTAGCTAACCGTGTTCAGCTGTGGATTCTGGACATGCAGCTGACAAGGTCAGTATAGTCATTTTCAATGAGAAGTTTTACACTCTAATATTTTCCTGTTCGTGTGCACAAATGTATTTTCAAACTCGTGCATGCCCACAAATTTTTGGCATCACCTCAGCTGGTGGAGCCATGATATGATGTGAATTTCAACCTATACTGAAACAGCGATTCTTGGCTCACCATTTTTCTGTCTTTTCCTTCAGGGATGGCACAGTGATCTTGGCAAGTGTATCAGATCCTGAGGCAACACCTGCACAGATGTACTTTGTTCTTGGTATGACCATGTGCTTTTTTAATGACTTACATGGAATAGGATCTTAAACTGTGTTAAATATAGTTTAAAGCAACAAGTCTGACTTTGTTTTCAGACTGTGTATTATTTAATTTTATTTCCAAGTCTGAAAAGTTTTGTTACAACTACATGTAGCTGATAGTGTCTGAATGGAAAAATCACTACACACAAGTTTTGAGTACAAAATGTACATGTGCTTTTCACAGCTACCCTGCCTACAACTGGTGCCTCAGCTCCATCCAGGTTAAGCAGCTTCTCCTTGGTAAACTACTCTGTCAAATATCAGGTGAAACATTTTCTTGTATGTTTACTAAGAATTCTCTGTCCATGCAAAGGAACTTAGTCCACAATAGGATTCATGTTCAGACTGTTTGGAATTGAAATACACATGTTGTTTAGTCCTCTTACCTCTCCCTTTTTGAGTATATGAAAATGTGTATTCTTTCTATCTAGCCACAAGATCAAGAAGCTGCCCTGAACTACCATCTTCTAGTGCCAGGTGTGCGTGGCAAAAGTGCTTACATCTATACAAACAACCTGGTGGTCTTTGCAACAGGTAAGTAACCCAAATGGAGCCTTTATACATTGTGTACCTGACTACTACCTGTTGTTTGACATTTCAAGATTTATGATATGTAGCAAATTACACTTTGCACATTCTTATTGTTTTATAGTGTCAGGCTTCCCCCAGCCTCAGGACAAGGTGGAGTTCCAGTCTCCTGGGGATCGCATTCTGGGAGCAGGTGGGTACCCTTTTTTTGGCAATGCCTCAGAGGTGGAGCTTTTATCCAGGTATTTCTCCATGTTCAATTTTCCTTATGGTTACTCTGAAAGACCGAGAGAGAAATAAGGCAAAATTCAAATGGTATTTTGGACTTTTCCCTTACTAGGAAATTACTGACTTATGAAAGTACACTATATATTTTTCAATTCATGTTGCTTTGTGGTGTTTGGACTTGTTTCCTTAGGTTGCTGTGATGGACAAGCATTGCTGTTCTCCAACATCAGTGGCATTGTCATGGTCAGCATGGTGGATGTACAACCAAGGTAAAAAAATAACTACCATGCAAAGGACTTTCTTGTTCTTTACCTAAAAAAGAGGATTAAGTTACATTCCAGGCCCCTCCCATTTGGTCGAGCTCTCTTCATTTTCTGCCAGAAATGGAGCTGATAAATACTAAATGATGTGCTCATTATTCAGAGTACACTGTGACTGACATAGACCACTATTGTCTTATGTTTATGCCAAAGTCAGGGCTAGTACGTAGAGGTTCACTTTTGATGATTTACAATAAAACCTAAAATGTCCAGTAATGGTAAAGGGATTCAGTAATCTATGTTTACAATCAATATTTTTTTTCTCAGTATGGATGACTCCTTGGCAGTTGAACCATCCTCAAGGCCTGAGGTAAGTAGGAACATTTTTGTACAATATTTCTGTGACACCTGTACTCTTTGTTTAGGTACAAACATCTTTGTCTACGTCTTGTACGGGTTGTGTACACCTACACAAACAATCTCTTACCTCTAATAGGAATAAAGATTGAAAGGAAAAGTTATCTAGAATTATAACTGCCTTAAAATTCCAGAAATACACTTTTGTACTTGAGTGTTAAATGAGGACTTCCCTCTCCAGTCTGTGCTAGGAGGAGACATGGAGACGAAGGTAGAGGAGTTGAGTATGAGTGAAGACCAGGCCGCACGACTTAAGGGTGCCTTCTTACACTACTGCAGGCAAGTCAACACTTTCTGTCGTCATCATTAGTGTCTGTGGTAACAATAATGTCAAAGATGTGTACCATTCTTTGAGCTCCATTTGGATTTTGATATACACTTCCAAGCAGTAGTGCTTGGGCTGCTTGTTGATAGTCATAGATCTTAATTGTTTGAACAAAAATATATCATTCACATTGAGTTCCTGTACTAAAAATCGTGTTATAGAGGTAGCAATCTTAAAGCTAGCTGTCCTCACCATCCTAACATGTAGCTATTAAAGAGAATGCATCAATCAGCCGCGCCACCTATTACCTTAAACTGGTATTGCAGGAGGAATGAGGTCCAAGCCCAGGCCATAGTGGATGAGCTGTTCCCACCAGAGGATGCCCTCCCCACGGAGCCAGGCTCCAGACTGGACAGACTTGTGGCCCTGCTGAGTCAGGAGTTGATTGACGACTACCCTGCCTCTGATCCCAGATGGGCGGAGTCTGTTCCTCATGGTAAGGGTACTAGGCAATTTTTTGTTCTATTCATTTTTGTGAAGTTTCAGTCTCATATATCTCAGTATTATATGTTTTCATGTCCAGTTGCTCGCTCATCCTCTATCTAGTGTGATTGACAGTAACAGTTACTGGTGTTCATTTGTATGTACATATGTTGGCTCCTCCTCCAGCTAGTATGATTGAGAATTGTTTGTTTTCAGGTACATTTGTAGTACTACATATGTTGGCTCCTCCTCCGGCTAGTATGATTGACAGTTGTTTTGTATGTACAGATGGTGGCTCCTCCTCCAGTTAGGGTGACTGACAGTTGTTTTGAGTATACAGACACAGGCTCCTCCTCCAGCCTGTATGATTGACAGTTATTTTGTGTGTACAGATGCTGGCTCCTCCTCCAGCTCCCTGATCCTGCTGCACCAGTTAGAAGACAAACAGAAGGCCCACGACTACCTGGTCACCTTCCTCAACACTGTGGGCATCTGGGACCGGGTACAAACAGAATTCTTTACTCTCTGAAAAAAAAAAAATTGGAAGTCTGACTATGACGGTGAAAATCAAGGAAAGGCAAAGGGAAAAAATCAGTCACCAGCATATTGAATTTTCTTTATACCATGCAGTCAATTTTCGTTATCCTTTCATACTGTGACAAGTATGAGAAACTATCATATGACTAGTCCACAAGACTTTGTAAGTTTCACTGAATTACGGAAGTTTGCCTTTATTCTGGAGTGTGGAAAACCTAAAGTGCAAGATAGAAAAGATAGAATATAATAATCCGTAAAGAGGATCTTTCTGTGTATATTATTTAAAGGTAGGTAGTAGTACACTCAATCAGGTTACATGTAGGTAATCTTCAGTGAAACAAGACAAATTTCTATGTCCCTCTCTGTTGTAGCTAACCTCAGTGATGGTGAGGGACTCCTTCATGCCTACACGACTCCTCCTGTGTGAACATGCTGAGAAACTGCAGGCTGCCATCACTCTCAGGAACCAACACTCGCAGTAAGGCATTCCTGTAGAGTGTAAAATTCTCAGTCTTAACATCTGTTCTTGTTTTCTTGTTTCATTGTCTGATTGTAAGGCATGGTGTAGTTGGCGTAGACAGACTATTCATTACCCTCCATGTAATGGGGGTATTGTTTTTGGTCCGTTTCATGTTTTGGTCTGATATCTGAAGATCGGTGAAAAGGAACTGTATGATATTTGGCAGATTGATGGATGGGGCCTTGGAGATTGTGTAGGTTGACTTTGAGCCCCTGGTGATTGACCTTGGTACTGCAGTTTAATTTTTTTATTCTATTGTTGGCGCGTTATGGACTGTTTGTACGATATTAAGGTAACATGTAGTTGTTATTATTATGGTTTAGTGGTTTAAATTTGGGTTTCCTAGCTGTTTGCGTTTGATATTTACAAAATGTTTAACTTTGGTCTTTTTGTGTTGAATGTTTGGAAAATCTGGTGGATGGTTTGGTATAATTTTTGGTATGTGGGTAGTTGTTGAGTCTCTTTGTGTTTTAGAGTGCATTAGCAGGTTGTCGTATATTTGTATTGCTTAATTTAAAAGGATTTCTACATTATTACCCCTATTTTATAGTAGTGTGGTCTGTGTTTGACCATAGTGTACTGTTTGACAGGCTATATATTTCTTTGGTCTGGTCATTGACCTGCCGGCCTTGCTAATGGGGTGGTTTGTTTGTACACAACACCAACCTCGTTCATGGAGGGAAGATGTCTATTGCTTGTTAGAGCTGAATTTTGTTTGTTGCCCTAAGTACAAAATTTTATGTATTTCAAATTAGCTTAAAGGTAAAAGGCTTCATGGAATCCTGCTACAAGTACATGCCATTTGTTGCAAATTTGACAACTCCCTCGATGCCTAGGTATCCGAGTCTTGTAGACGCTGCCATCAAGAGAGTCTTACAACAGAGGGGACAGGCTGTTCCACCTTCTGGACTCACCCCACAAGATGTCTTCTACAGAGAGGTCAGCTTGGGTTTTAAACCTCTTAAAACCATCATGATAATGATCATACTTGAAAGATTACAGAAAATTCTTCTTCATATTGTTCTGTCGTTCCTTTCAATCTATATTATTCACTACACGCAATAAAGTAGTCTGATTTATGATGATCACAGTTTTTGGCATTGTTGTCATTACTTTTCCTAGGTTTCTCGGATCCAGGATATTCTAGAGGCACTAGTTGAGTACGAGGAAGAAGCCATGGCTGGAGACATGTCTGCCAGAGACATGGTCAACCTCATGGCTAACATCAACACTATCATGCAGGTAAGGACAACCTTAACTCAACACCTATATCTGTACATGTAGATGTGTAGTAAAAGTGGACTGTGTAGGCTAATAAAAGTAGTAAATAAGGGCTTTACTTTTTTTGACACAGAGCAAAATGATGAAGTAAGAGAATGATATCTATTGCCCTGTGTAATATTTATGCCAAGGGAGTACATGACATGATTTAAATGTTAACCATCATACAACATGTACATAAATATTCCTGTCTGTTTCTAGGCTATGCTGCAGGCAGCCAGGAAACTTCGTCAGTCTAAGAACCTTGTTTACCAGGCCCATGTGGACACTGGAGTCAAGGAACCAGAGTACATTCCATGGACAGGTGAAGATTCAAATTACATTTTCAGGTGCTGATCTTTTCAATGTATATGTTATACAATGTATGGTCCATGTGTACCTATTTAAATTGTCGTTTTTAAAAGTTGGCCATCTTTTTGTGCTTTTGTAAAACTTTTGGTAATATTTTCAACACCTTCAGCTTCTTCAGGATCAAAAGGAGTGCGATCTCTCATCAAGAAACAGGTGAGTCAACACACTCTTGTGATACATATACTTTTAATACTTCCAAAATCATATCCAGTTGCTTGAGTAACTGCTTTTTGGCGTATTGTATTACCTGGATGTCTAACCTTCATCGACACATATACTTTTAACATTTCAATTTGTTGATGACTGACTAAAGGCATAGAAACTGTCACTGGATGTAAGATTTGTCTGGTAATGCTGAATGTTACCAGCACTGGAGAAAAAAGTAGTTCAAGCCATGAATGTTTGACCTGTTCCAGCATGAGGTTACAGTTGAACAGGGCCTGCTGGAGGCTGCAGACGTCCAGACCAGAGGGACGTTCTACCAGCAGCTGCTGGAGCTGACAGACCTGCTGCTGGATGGGTACATCTGTCAGCTGGAGTCCCTGGGGGACGGGCAGGGAGACCTACACTACATGGACATCAAGGAGAAGTATGAGGCAGACAGGGCAGCTTTCATCAGACCTCTAGGTATGGAGGGGAAGGACGGAAGTTTTCCTCAATATCTTTTCTTTCTCCAGCACTTTAAGTAAGTTAACTACTAGTAGTCTATACTGTCTACTGTTTGAGGTGAGACAATAGTAATGGTTTAACAGTTGTCATGTATTCTGTTTGATTCGTGACTAGGAATTAGATTGAGCTCTGGAGTTTTCACAACATGAGGCACGATGTCTACTAACATAATCCTTTTAAGTTACATTCATGTACAGTATATCCTCCACATCTCCTGCATAATGCAACATCCCCCAGTATAATGCACACCTACATATTTAAAGTGTCAATACTAGAGATCTCTCAAGCACTGAATGCGAAATTGTTATGGAGTTTGGAACACAGTCAATACCAACATGATTTATTTTTCACATGAATGTTTTTCCACAGTTGAGGCAGGCCAGCACGAGCGAGCAGCCTCGCTGGCTGAGAAGTACTGTGACTTCAGTGTGCTGGTGCAGCTGTGTGAGGACACAGACAACCAGGAGAGGCTGGAGAGGTACATGGTGCAGTTTGCTGACAAGGTAAGCTGTTTTAGTAGATTTCGTTTTGTTTCTTTCTGGAAGATAACTTCATAACAAAAACGTTTTGTTTCTTTCTGGAAGATAACTTCATAACAAAAGACACCAGTTTTGCAGTTGTTTTGAAACCATCTACAACTAAAGTTTTAAAGATTTTCCAAATTTTTTTTTGCTTTGTTAGATATTTCTCTAAGACCAATATACATTTACAACTTCTATTTGCAGGGATTCTCTGACTTTCTGTTCAAGTGGTACATGGATACAGGTGAGCTGATTTAGAAGTATCCTTATAATGGTATTATGTGGAAATACTGTCAGATTAACTTCTATTAAACTCATTAGTCTATTTACCCACCTATCCATTCATACTTTCCATCCGATTGATATGTTTTTATACCCATTTTGTTATAACCATTTCACATCGCCTCATTAGGAAAGCGTGGGAAGCTGTTGTCCCAACCGTCTTCCCAGAATGCCGAGCTGGCCCAGTTCCTAGCTTCCCATGAGCACTTGAGCTGGCTACATGACATCAACACCAGCAAGTGGGACAAGGTCAGTCCACAAACTTATAAATTAGAGATTTGATACAAAATTTGATATCGAAATATAAAATATTGTACATGAGCAACTAATTATGTGCAGTACATTCAATGTGAATGATTCTTAGCACCAAGGACAGGGCAGTGTGTATGTCATTTGCTGTCAAATCTTTTTGTATGAGTATGTGTACATCAAAGTTATTGTAGTTCAGTACAAACAGCATGTCAAGATTGTGAAAAGCTGGGACAGTGTCAACATAAAAGCCATGTAAAGTATCAGTGTGACACATAGCCAATGTAAATATTGTTCAGCACCAAGGACAGGGCCAGTGTAAATTTCATTCACATCCTGGAGTAGGATATTTTGAGTGCCATCTCATAGTACATGTATGAATTGTACCTGGTATGAGATAGAAACACAATCTGAAGGCAGTTCAGCACCAAGGACAGGACTACATATGAAATGTGGATAACAGAATTTTAAACTGCCACATTTTATGATGTCCAGTCAGATCTTATCATGAAGAGTATATCATGTTCATGTATGTGTTTCCTGCATCTAGAAAATGTATTTTGCTTACAGGCACATTCAACTCTGAAGACATTGGCAGCAAAGGAGACCAAATATGCTGCTAGAAAAAAGGTTAAGAACCATTTCTGTTGACATTTTCAGTGCAACGCATGTTGACATTTGCATTTTGTTTATCCACTGCTAATACACAGTCAGTGATTATTTTAAGCACATGACAATCAGTACTATGTCTTCTACAGACTTTGCTGAGCATCAGCAAACTGGCAGCTCTGGCATCTGACCAACCACAGGACTTGATACAACAGCAAGTCGGGGGTAAGCACCGGTCTCTGAAATACATAAACTATTTACATATGTATTGTACGTAATCTAATGCCTTACAATCTTTAGGGTATTTTTAATGAAGATATAGTTTGCCAATGGTTTGTATTGTTTTAAGTTGATATTACTAGACAACAATTATTGTAGTGTTGCCTCTATCTGTCATGATATGATTTTGTTCTTAGCTGTTCTATGGTATTCAGAGTGTGTTAGAAGCATCTTTCTGTTTTTTTTTTCTTTCAGGAATCAACAATGAGCTGCAGCTGCTGTTCTTCCAGGAGAACCTGCCTGCAGAGGTGCTGCAGGTGAGCAGGTGTATCTGCAGGTGGAATGTGTAAAGATTAAAGCAAACTTGATTTGTACCTCACATTGATATTTAAGATTATAGTCATTGTATCATCCTGACAAAATAGGGTTGATTGTTGTCCTGGGGTCCAGCAGGGTGACTGTTTTGTTATTGTGTTTGTGCAATATCATAACTAGTAACAGTGCTTCTGTATCCTGCATAGTGTACAGTTAGTTATTGCAATACTAGACTAGTAGTAGTCCTTATTACAGACAAATGTGTAGGAGGGCATGTGTATTGTGCCTATTTCTGTGTAGACTACCATGGAAATGACTCTCACCCTCACAGTTTTTCACATCATGCAACGAGATCTGTGAGTGTGATATAGTCTCTTTTTTTTTCTGACCTAAACCATTGATCTTGTCTTTCTAGAACAAAGGTTTGGATGCAGACAACATGCCTGTACTAGCTCCACATGATCTTATACAGGTATGGAAACTTGTTTCATTCATTTCCCCATCTTTCTGATTTTCTTAATTATGTTTCATATTTCTTTATTTCTTCTTTATTTCTTTATTTGAATTCACCACATGCAAAAAACAAGTGGAAGGGAGGACAAAACAGGTGTATCAACGCCTTTACAAGTTGTCCTCCCAAACCTGAAATGATAATACAAAACAATACGGAACCAAGTCAAACAATAAACATTAGACATAAGACATCAAAAATCAGTAGACATGAAATATACAATTCGGTAAAAGTTATACAGAGAATTGATTATGTACAAAAATTATCAAATGTCATTATGTACAGATTAAAAAGCTAATTATGATACTAATGCGGCCTTAAAGCAGTGCATGAGGCACACCCACAAGATGTGGACCAGGAGCAGGGAACGTCGATATTGAACTGGGTGTCAAATCTCATAAACGTGGCACTCACAAGCGATCGCTTGAATGTCAAGATGTTGGACATTTCAGAGGCTTGAACCCCAATATTACGGAGGACAGGACTCAGCTGATTCCAGATGGTGACCAGCCTTGGTATGTAAGAAGAGCTGAAGGCTGATGTCCTTACTCTAATGGGGGTAAGCATGTGCGATCGGAGGTATCTAGAGGGTCTGGAAGGGAAGGATACATACTTGTGAACAATTGGTTTAGACTTAATAAACACCATGACGTCGCAAACTTCACGCCTGAGCGCAAGAGGCAACAGACCAAGGGTGGAGAGACGTTCCTTGTAGGTCAGGGTGTTCGAGTGGGCTCCTAGAATGAATTTAGTCGCCCGCCGTTGCACCCCCTCTACAAGGGACATGAGTTTGCGGGACTGAGGAGACCACAAAGGTGAGCAGTATTCTAAGATGCTTCTCACCAATGTGGTGTACAGTGCCTTGCGAACATCAGTGCTAGAGTTGAACCCGACTGTTCTTTTGATAAAACCAGTCATAGAATTGGCCCTGGCTACCATCTTTAAGATATGACTGTGTTTGTGTGTGTGTGTGCATGGCATCACATTAACATATATATGTGGACACATTTTACAGTTGTATGTTGGACCAGAAAATGACAGAGCCAATGAACATGACTTCAACAAGGCCTTGGATTTGATGCAGTATATTGATGAGGTACATGTGCATTTGTAGCACGTACATTGTAGTTTCCTATGCAGATGTAGTAATTTCAGATTCTTAGAGTTTGAACATTGTGAGTAATGCAAATGTCCTTATTGTTCTTGATAGTTATGAAATTGTTTTGTGGCATTAATTCTGGTGTAGTTTGTTAAATGTTGAATCATGAATTTCCTTATTTTACTATCAGGATGATCCAGCTTATGAAGGTTTAAAGCTTCACATCTGGGGTAGAGCCCTACTGAAGGATGAGTAAGTAAACATAGCAGCACATTCTCATACAGAAGGAGGGGTATAAGTAAACACAGTTTCACATTTCCATACACACATGATTGGTGGCAAAAGGAATGAAGAAATGGTTCTTGCAATTCAAAAGAACACATATCAGATATCATACCGGTAGTATTACAATGTATAGTGTTTGCTGGTATTCATATTGACTTGGTTATGTTTTTGCTTGACCTGAATAAATACTAAATGTTTCTCTCTCTTTCAGCTGGTCGAGTATTTCCACAGATGAGCCCCTGTCTGCCTGTAGTCACACAGTGTTCTTCAAAACTGTGGAGCTGGCCTTCAAAAATGGTAGGCTTTCTAACTACATGTAGTTACAAGATGTTGCATATGTTTTGTTTTCTATATTAAGTTTACACAGGTTTTCCAATGTAAAAAGTCCTTTGTAATAAGTTCCACTTTTTGAGTTAAAATTTTGTTGTATGGATTAATTCATGCAAGAAAATAATAGTCTGTCACACAGTGTTGCCTCCTCCATTAATTTTTGGCAAATATTCTACAACCAAAGAATCAGTAGTAACAACTAAATTGGTGTGGCCTAATAGAGATGCATGCAAGCATTGTAAAACATTATGCATAATGTGTGGTACACCCATTACATTTTGACACTTCCTACAGGTGTGGACCTACAGGAGTACCTGCCTGATGTAGACATGCTCCTGTCTTCAGAAGAACTGGGAGGTCTCAAGGACAACTCCAGTTTCCAGTACTTAGTCAGAGCAGGATATGAACAGATCCAGAGAGTCATGACACAGGAGTAAAATATACATACTGGGGGATTGTACACATACTGTGAAATTCCAGACAGTTTCTGCATAAATCCTATTCACTGTTGATATCACAGCTTGTGTATAGGGGACCAGTTATGATCTTTTTTCTGCTCCCCTTAAAAAGATGTGTTAGCAACATTTGTACATGTTTTTGTAAGTAGAGGTATCTCAGACAGTTACAAAATCAGTGTCTAGACCGAGAAAATGACAATGTTTCTTGATAGATCATGTTTTTCAATGATTTCTGAAGACAAGATATCCTTAGAAGAAAATATTAATTAATGTGATTAAGTCCAGAGTTTTAGTCATTTTACAGGCAAATACATGTACCGGTATCTTCATCTATGTATAACCCTTTCATTTTGACTTGTACCTATGTTCAAAGTAAGATATGGATGCACATGCGACAATTGTGTAAGATTCAAGATGTTATCTTTGGTACAGTCATGATAAAGAAACTAGTAATGTCTACATGTAGGTGGAAAGCACTGTATTTCTTTCTGTAATGTCACATTTATAATAAACTGGATGAAATCTGAGAAGACACATATTTTTTACTCAAGATGCTCAATAGATGAACTTGGATCTGAAACTATGACTAACAGGTAGGTGGCAACATGATTGGCTGGTGATGGTTGGCCAGCACCAATGTAGCGAGAAAGACAGAATGCAGGCCAGTAGGCCAGGGTCGTTGCTTGACATAGACAAGTGGCGAGACTAGCATGAGAGGATGGTTATAGTCTGATACCCAGGTCTGAATAGACATGTGGGGTCACTGAGAAAGAGAACGATTCATCGACGTTCACTCAAAATAGCAACCCCCCACCAACCCACACAATTTTACACCACGTTTTCAGAGAGGTGCACGTGGAGAAACTAAAGTTGAGACTAATTATGTGACATTTAATACTTTTTCTCATTATTGTACTTACTACATGTTTGGGTGCTACAACCAGACATGCGGACTATCAGTCATCATGATGGATTATTGATGACCATTGAATGAGACCAATCAAAGTGTTGCTACCTAGGCCTGGTGACGTCAAATTCAAGCTGCAATATGTATTTTGACTGCAAGGGGTCGCTCCTAAACGTTCCGCTTGCAACGGCCTGTAGGGAAAATATGCACAACTTCTTAGGCTTCTAAATCTTTTGAAATGCCCAGGGTAACGTGGCCTGGCCTCATTTAAACAACTGAATGGTGCTCCTTGATGATATCCTTGTCCTGTTGCAGAGACGCAAACATGCCAACAACAAAGTTACAAACTTTTCTAGCCGAAGAGTACGCTGGAAACGAGGCGTTGACGATTCTATGATGATAAAAGGGGGTAATTGTGGTTTTATGAAAACACAATTAATCACTATTTTTCCAATTGTATTTACAATTTATATGTGGAGTATTTTGACACAAATTTGTTTTGGCTGCTATTACGTTATTATTATTATATTCATAAGAAACATCCTCCATATAGTAGACTCGTCCAGCCGGGCAGCTCTTGTTCCCAGGGCACTGTATGACCAGTGCTACGTGGAGGAAGATTCAAGTTGCAGACAGGTGTACGGACTATAGACTGCTGATATACAGCTTTACTCACGTCTTAAAGGCGTCTCACCTGTCCTTACGCTGCCAGGATGGCGTTGACCACGTTACCGATCAGCCCCAGGTCCCTGTGTTTTGACAAGGACGTGTTCATGAAGGTTGGTTCTGTGTGTGAGAAAGGGGGAGGGGCGACCTGCAGACGATATTTGGGAGGGAATTTAATAAATCGAGATAACTGTCCATACCTGTGGGCAAAATGGCAAATAACCTGAAAGACTAAGAGTAAAACTTGTATTTCATGATCTGTTATTGTTGTATCGGGTAGTGTATCTGTGTATGTTGAATGAAGTTAAAATATAACTTATAATGAATTTTTATTTGTGGGAAAATTTCTGAGAAAGATCATGATATTTGAGGAATTTTGCATAGGATTTTTCATCATATATAGATACATATACAGCTCTGAGTGCTTTCCTTTACAAAAAGAAAAGGAGTATAAACTATTTAAGCCATCACACTTATCGACAATCAAACCTACGGTACTGTACTATACTTAACTAGTCTACTGCAAATGCAGTTTGTACTTATGTTTACAAAACTGATATGTTACACCTTGAGGTGCTTGAAATGAATTATTAGACATGTGATACAAACTTCTTTCGCTTTCCCCAAGGAAAACTTTGACGTGGACCAGTTTGTTGCGGAATGTCGGAGGCGAGTGTCGCTGGAAACCCTGCGGGAAGACCTGGAGGTGTACTACAAACTCCTGCGCAGTGCCATGATAGAACTCATCAACAAGGACTACGCTGACTTTGTCAACCTCTCCACTAATCTGGTAAGATAATCTGCAGACAAGTTGAATAATACGGTCTCAAGAAATTTCTTGCTTTGTCATAATCTCTACTTTATAAGACTTCCAACAAGAAAAATTTAGGAGCTTAACTTCTTAATTCGACAGAGCTATAATTTGTGTATTGCTGCATTTTATTCATATGTAAAATTAATAACTTGCATTCCTCAGGTTGGAATGGACAAGGCCATAAACAACTTGTCTGTACCACTGGGGCAGCTCAGGGAAGAGGTCATGGTAAGTTCTTTATCATCTCGTATTCATAATATCATCTAGTATAGTGTATTGCAAGAACAATTTTACATGGGATACCTTCAGCTGCATTATTAAGAACCTGTAAAATTTAGAAGCTTCAAATATACATGTTATCCACCCGTCATACTAACAAACATACAACTTACAGTCCATGAAGATACATGTAGATTTTGTATCTGTGTTGCCAGCAGACAGTGAGAACAGCAATGGACACAGCAGTACAGGAGATAGAAAGCAGGCTGGCTACCAGGGCTGCTATTAGAGACAAAAAGGTCAGATCTCTAACTTCTTATATATATCTGTACCTGATAAAGTGATTAGAATTCCTTTCTAGACTTCAGAATGTAGTTCTCCTTTGCCATTTCAGTAATATTCTGCTTCTTGTAAGTTCTAGATAATTTTCCTTTCCTAATCAATAGTTGATGATTATTGAACCTGTTCCAGGCCTGCCTACAGAGGTTAATGAACATCACCCATTCTGTGGAGAAGATAGAAAAGATACTGGACATCCAGGACCAAGGGCAGGGGGATGGGGAAAGGTAACATTAATTTCAAGAAAACAGAGATAGATTAAGGAACTATTTATGGTGCATAGCAGAGCCTTTGCATTGTTCTGAATCAACTTATAATTACATGTGCATGCAAATTCATCCTTGCCTTTATACTAATTTGCTGCAATTTGATTGTTGTGTTTAGGGAGTTGACAGGCCAGTTGATCGAGAGAGTGGCTACAGAGTTCAACCAGCTGCAGTTCTACGTCACGCAGAGTAAAGGTCTGCCATTGGTGGAGAAAATCAGACCTGTAAGTGTGCAAAACTTGCCGTTACATTGCATCTAAATATGACTTGTAGTCAACAGTTACATAGAGTAACTGTTGAGTTAGATAGACCACTATCGCAATGTACATTCATTTCATCATCACTGTTTTTGAAAAATTGTTGGACTCCTTGAATGTCACACTTGATTGACATGAATACACATCTGAATATAATGTTTGGAAGTTTGCAGCTTGAAATGTAACATTCTGTCGGTTGAATCTTTCCTGAGTGATAAGTTTTATTCCCCTTTTCTCCCAGAGAATAGCAGCCATTACGACCACCTTACAGCACAGTTTGGAGACGTCTTTCCTGGAGGGTCTGAGGACCAGTAACAGGGACATCCTGAGGCAGTGTCTCAGGACTTACGCCACTATAGACAAGATCAAGGATGCTGAGGCACTCTTCAGACAGACTATCGTTAAACCCTTCATGGAAGAGGTAAGAAATAGGGAGTGCAATGTCTTTTAGAGAATTTTATGTAGATGTTACATATACATTTTCTACTGCTTAACTAGGTGCAATTAATCGCAAAGCTTGTCTGTAGAGTTGTATCTGTTTATAAAAATGTTTCAACTATGAAAAGTACCATGGTAAGAGATGCACATATCATGGTAAACAATCACAAAGGGCTTGCTATATGTCTTTTGTAACCCAGGAATATTTGACAACATGAATACCGGTATGCCATCATGGTGCTTTGTCTTGGAATTCGAAGGAATGAAATTATAACGGGAGAATATATGCTCTTTACCTTACATTTGGGTCAATTCTGAAATCAGTATACAGTATTGTGTATTTTGTTCGGTCACATATGCATTTGTACCATACATTGCTCTGTGTGTTTGTGTCCAGGTGATAACAGAAGCAGTGCTGATGTCCCATCCCCAGGGGTTGAAGGGTCTGTACAGCAGGGTGTTAGACTTCATCCCTGCACACTGTAAACCTCTCAGAGAGGTCACTACTGGTCTGGTGCCAAGGTAAAGTATTTAATGTTTTAACTGACAGTCAATGCATTATAGAACAGAAATGATGTTGCTTATTATCAAAAATATTGCTTGCTACCTCACATTGTTTCTCAGTATGCTTTTTTGTGTGTGTATGTAATGCTTGTAAATATATTGTGTATTAAATCAATATTTTGTAACAACCATGTCCTACTATATATATATATATATATATAGATTTGTATATAGTTGTGACTTCAGTGTTTTATTGTTGTCTGTACAGCTCTGCCCAAGGTGAGGTTGTACGAGGGTATGACTTCCTAGTGAATGCAGTGTGGCCTGAGGTTGTATCAGGGTTGGAGAAGAGAACACCCTCCATCTTTGCACCTGGCAACCCCAGCATGTTTCACCAGGTATGGTGTTCAGACATGTTTCGGATTGGTTTGTGCTATACATATCTTTATGCGAATGATAAAACAGATGATAGACAATTAAGCTCTACCTCTATAAGCTATATTACATAATTCGTAGCTGCAGTTAATATCATGCTAGATAAGCTTAGCTTTACTCAATACATATTTGATATCCTATGTTCTTATCTTGCTTGGAATTGATATTTCATTAGTAATGATAGTCATTTTTTGTTTGTTGTAGAAATACTTGACAAGTATGAACTTCCTGGATGCCTTTGAGCTGGAGTGTGGTTCCCAGGCTAGTGTCAAAAGGCTGAGGTCCCATCCCAGCTACAATACCTTCATGACAAAGTGGAGTCTCCCTGTATACTACCAAATAAGGTATAGAAAAATACAATTTCTTACTAATATTTTCATTTAGATCAAGCTTAATATTCATTAGATGTATTGATAGATAGAATTTGCTAATTGCGATGTTCTTCAGACCACAGACTTCATTTTGAGTGTTAAAATTAGCAGCCTTTAATTTTTGTGTTATATCCTGCATTGCAGGTTTCAGGAGATAGGTGGGGCTTTTGAGACATCCCTGATGTCCCCCTTCAACAATGCACCAGACAAGACTCTCTTCCAACTGAACGCACCTTACACGCTGTGGCAGTGCCTGGCAAAATGTTGGGCTCAGGACATCTACATATCCCCCCTGTGCCATCGCTTCTGGAAACTCACACTACAACTGCTGTCAAGATACGGCACGTGGGTGAGGGAAATTCGCGAGAAAGAAGTTCCAAAGAAGGAGACCGAGCATACTGAACAAACTTCGGCAGGGACGACGTCCACTACCACCGCTCTTATGGTATACACGCCTACTGTGACAACTATGACCACTACATCTACATCAGTGGCTTCCACACCAGGGCCCTCCTCACAAAGCACCACCACTAGCAGTCCACTGGTCACAATGACTCAAATGGTTTGTCTGGTCACAGACTCAGATACCATCATAGGCAAGGTAATATACTAGTATCCTTTACCTGGTATTGACCTTACTTTTGTGATTTTGAATCAGTGACTATTTTGTAAGAATTTTGTTTTTGTTCAGTTTTTATTTCAACTACATGTATATCTATTTTAACACAGGTTGAAGAATTCTTTTCCACCGTGATCCAACCCAAAATAGCAGCAATTGGTGTGAAGAACACAGATGTGCTTACAGGTAAATTGTGATCTTTGCTTTTAGAAATTATAAAGTTTTAATGTATAAGTTCTTGAAATCATGTAAAGCTCTACCAGGTACAATTTATATGTAGAATTACAGTGTTGTTTTATGTCTTACCACTAGTGTAAACATGTACCATTTTTCTTGATGATGAGAGAAAGGAAACACTGCTAGACTCTGAGCTCTGATTTGAAGAGCTTTACAGTATCCTCCTAATAGGGCATCTCTTGCTTCTAGATACAGAACATGAATTATTTTGTTTTATGATGTAGCTGCTTTAGGAGAGTCCAGAGAACTGATATCCCAGGAGCTGCCAGGGTTTGGTGACTACATCGTACAACAGATAGCTGAACATTGTGTGGTCAACCTGAAACCTGCCAATGATATCCCCAGACTCTACAGGAGAACCAACAGAGAGGTCAAGACCCTGAACACTTATTTAGCCTCGGATGATACATTCTTGCAAGGAATAAAATTGTTAGGTTATTAAGTACATACATGTAGGGTTGAACCATTCATTTGGTTAGTTTGTCAGCCTAACATACATATATGTCTATGTCTTGTGTTGATGTTTCCCATTTGTCAGTAGTCTGTTACACATTGGTAATAGTTTTTGTTCTGTTTTTTGTGTCTTCTATTCACTCAGATTCCCTCCAAGGCTTCTGCCTATGTATCTGCCACAGTGAAACCCTTGCAGATGTTCCTGGAGGAACATGCAGCTATCATCTCTGTCACTAGGAGGAGCCAGTGGGTGGTCAGCATTCTCAAAGTGGTTACAGAGAGGTACAATACATAACACACATTGTAATATTTTCTTAATATTGTTTTCTAAATCCACAAAAATTTGAACTGTAAGCAATAAAAAAGAAATGAATAAGCAAACAAAGTACTGTCATCTTCTTCCAGGTACTACTCAGTCACAGATGACATCCTGACAGCAGTGAGGAAAATGGAGGACAGTTTGAAGCGACTGAAGAAGCTTCGCAAAGGCGACAGTGGGAACTCATCGTCCTCTGGGGGGATGAGCGACGACGACAAGATCAGACTTCAGTTGGTCCTGGACGTCAAGCAGTTTGGAGAAGAGGTATGGTCTCTGTTTTATACTAAAGTATCATAAAAAGTACATGCTGAAAAGAATGATCTTATGAAGGCGTTATATACCTATAGTATGTAGAAAAAGTTTGATATTGCTGGGAAAAAGTGTAAACAGCTAGGCAAATAGCCTCATACTATATATACATGTATGCATCACAAAAAAGGAACTAATTTTGTGTTTGTAATGCAAATATTTGGCTTATAGTACTGGTAGCATGACTCAGTTGTAATGTGTTTTTGCTTATTAAGTTATTTTACTTCTTCAAATAAAACCAAAATCCCTCACTTCTTTAGCACACAACATTTGCCTCCATAATTTTGTATGCAAAGAAGTCTGACTATTCAAAAGAACTACCTGTACCAGTCTGTGCCTGGGATATGTGTACATTGTTGTGTAATGATGTGTAAAATTCCTTAACACCAGTCACAGGGTTTCAGTCACAGGATGTGCATAAGCAGGTAACTGCTGAGTAAATACGGAGTAAATTCTAAGAAAATGTTGAATTTTAAGGTATCCTGAAGATGATATTGTTGTCAGACAAGCCACAGTTAGACTATGACATGGTCAGTAGTGGTCAATCTGAATTTTCTGCCTTTGGCATTTGCTCTCAAAGGTCAGAGGGCACATGCAGAAAGTACAAGCCTTTAGGGCATAGCACCCCAACATGCCCTATGCCTCGTTTTGAAAAAAAGAAATCTAATGCAATCAGCTATAACAGAGATACTGCATGTGGTATACATGTACATGCAGTTTTTTCTATAACCACTGTTTTTGTCACGTTATTTGGACGTGCATGTTTTGAAATATCAGCACAAGAATTGCAGTTGTATGGGCTTAACTTGAATCCTTTGCAATGAGGATTTAGTAATCTATCCTAATCCTCCACACGTATAATATGGGCTCAGAATGTTTGGAACCTCCTTACATAGGAGTGTGGATGTTAGCTTGTGTATTTGGTGACATTTGTGTGTGTGTTTTCATCAGATTCAGGCCCTGTCTGTCCCCCTGGATGCCATCTCCACTTACCGACAGCTGTTAGAACTGGTGGAGTCAGCACAGACCAGCACTACACAGGCACAGTAGGCAACATGCAACTATCAGGGCAAACCTGCAGGGGAGCTTTGTGTTGTCAAGGTTTTCTTTGCTTGTTATGTACAAGTTTTTTGGACCAGTTATGATTTAAATGAAATGATATTTGGGACAGTGTAATTCAAAGAACGACACATTAGACTAACACAATAGATTTAAAATCAGGGGTTGTAGTTTCCTTTTTTAAAAATACAGCCATGAATGAAGTTATTTTGGAGTCCATTCTGAGTTACCTCAAAAGAGGTTGAAATGCTACATGGAGCTCGATATATTATACATGCAAGTCCTGGTAAAACGTTTCACATACATGCTGTTAGTCTAGTAAATGATTCAATGCAAAAGAGGAATCATACTTGGTTGAACAAAGAGAAGTGGAAGAAAATAGCTACATCTTGTAGATACAACAACATTCAAGTCCATTGTTTAGAATATGGTCTATCATGAATTTGTTAAACAAAGCAAAGGGCATGTTAAGTTGTGCAGTATAGTGATGAAAGTATGAACTTTGTGCAATACATATCATATAAATGGTATGACCAAACAGTGTTTTGATGTGTTTGATGTAAATATACAGACTCTTGCTTCAAGAGGTGGCAATGACACTTGAGAAGCCCTCATGTTTACGTATCTACAAAAAAAAAATTAATGTTTAGATCGGAAAGCAATAAAAGGTGTTTGGAACATCCAATCATTTACTAGTATTTTAGTGTAAAATATTAAGCAATCCTTCATTAAGGCTAAAGTCTGATGAGTATACATGTAATTGATAAACAGCCTTAAGGACAAGGTTATCATAGATTTTGGTGAAGGAATCTTTGTCTATCTTAAGAAAATTTTCATGATTTTCAGATTTATTTCCTTGTTGGAGGTGACATGTATTAGAATTCTAAATTCTACTTTTGTTCATTTTGAATATTGATACATATGTGTAAAGAGGAAGTGACATATAAAAGCACCATAATTTTTTTTGCAAGTTCAGTAGGTGACAGGAATAAAATGCACAAAGTGTAGTAGAAATCATCCAAATATAATAGAATAAATCCTTAAAAAAACATGCTTGTCATTAAGTGAGTAAGTTAAACATTGCATGAATGCGGATAATCTAGTTCCACTTCTTGAAGTGTTGTAAAACAAATAGAACAAATGCCTGAAGGGAGGAGGGCTGCTGTGAGTCACCCTCATGTTGGTGATCACGAAATTAAAGGTTACCGTTAACTTCTGCATTCCTCTGGTATAGGTACAAAGGGAACCATAGAAAGAAGAACCAACAAAGCTATCTTGTCTGTAATAATTAACTTCTTTCAAACCAAGTGACTCAGATGATTCCCAGAATAAGTTCCTGTTGCTAAACACCTATTTTCATATCCTCTTTCTTTTATTCACCACTATACTACATAAGGCAGTCAGTATTGTTTCTGTGTTTGTGAGCAATTGCTGCCAATAGTTTGCAGCAAACATACAATGTACACAACAGTATGTATCTACAAAACACTGTTTGGCCTGGTACCTAGTAAAGACAGACAGTTGACCTTCTCCCTACCGAGATAGTTGTTTGGACTTGTGATTTGTATTGGTTGAGGAGTATAGGGTAGCCGGGAAAGGGTTAACATGTAGAAAGTCAGTATTGGAAAGTTTGAGTGGTTACATAGTGGCACATCTATTTCACTACATGGATTTGTGGTAAATTTTCCAGTCCACTACAGCAGTTGACTTATTCAGTACTTACAAAACACATTTTGGTCATTTTCAATATGACTGCTAACTTCAATGGACAGCTAATTAAAAAGATGGTTCCACAGCAAACAGCCCCTCCCCTCCACTCTGGAATTTCCTTGACTGGTGCACAAATCGCTCTGAATTTAAACCAGGCCGTGAAGCGTTCCCTCACAGACACAGGTATGCATAGTAAGCATGGTTGAAATTGGAGGACAGTCACCACTGAAACTACATCAACAAAGTGTCCCAGTAAGTAAATATTATGCAGGAGAATTAATGGCACTTTGACACCACACGCTACAGCTGCCAATGCTTTACTAAATAGATGAGTCCACATGCACAAACACTGACATACTTCAGTTCTGTGATCATATTTCCCTGTATTGAAACAATCTTAATCGTAACCATCTCTATTCATTGTGAGTAGTTTAGAGAACAGACTAAGTTAGACTCTGAGAGCTGTCGTAAAAGATACTAGAATTTTGATACAAAAATTAATTTACTGACTGCCAATAAAATTGGAATTAACTTAAAGATACAAAACATGGTTTTCATCATGTAGATTTTGTTCCGGTTATCAAAATGATAAAGCTTCTGGTAATCTTAAACTATGTGTACTGCACAATATATTTTTACACAAATGCAAGAAGTTGCTCTAGCCTATTGATATTTTACCAGACATTATTTTTTAACTTACACTTATCATAATTACAGTAATCTATTTAGCAATAGAGGAATTTCTCACAGTCCTGTCTGATAAAACTTTAGTCCCAAATGAGAAGAAAATTCAAAATAAGGACATATCACACGATAACGATAACCTTGATCCACTAACATGAACATGAACCCGTGGACTGGAGGTGTGATTTGATCCACAAACATTTGCACTCTCCCAGCCAGAACCACATTCCACACAAACACGCTAACCTTGCTCTGTGCTTCTCTGGTTATTAATAGTTAACAATTATCTCCTCAGGCTTTCCTAATATGTCACTGGAAGCCTTGGCTCTCTCTCCAGGCTAAAAATACAGTTTGTCATCCTTGATTAAATGCACATATTGACTCAGTCTGGGGGTAACTTGGATTACAGACATAGAAGAATTTCTCACAAGGGTCAGTTGGATAGAATTATTAAGATAAAACTTTTAAAAAATGCTATATGGTCCCAGCACCAATTCCAGTTTGAAAATATCTTAACAGTTTTTCCTTAAACTGTATAGTGGTAAATTCGTTTAAATCCATTATATTTACATAAATGTAATTACACAGAATTACTGAACAAGGCATCTTGAAGTCCTTGATGATGCTCCCAAAACGTCAGAAGTTGATACTAGTATGTCTTAATCACCTGGAGAATCTGGGCCATCCAGAACTGTGTAGTCTGGGCCTGAGGTAATCTCATCCCCGGGGGAGTCTGGGCCATCCAGGGTGGTGTAATCTGGCCCTGCTGCAGTCTCCTCCCCGGGGGAGTCTGGGCCTTCCAACACCGTATAGTCTGGTCCTTCCTTCGACAATGTTCCTGCACTTGGCTTTGAACCTCCAGGTGCAAGGGAAGCATAATCGTGTCCGTCTTGCGGAGTTTTTGGTACCTGAGAAGGCCTTACTTCGTGATGCTCTCTCGGACCCCTCAAACTTTGATAGTCGGTACCTTTATTCAGTCCCTGGTAGACATGGTTGCTGTTTGAGTTATTTGCACCCGGCTGTGGCCCATGAAGGTCGGCATAGTTTTTGTCCTTGTCTGCTTTCTTCTTGTTTTTCTTGTCTCGTACTTTCTGAGGATCTGCATACTGGTCATCAACTATCTGTGCATACTGGGGCTCGTCTATGATAACGTTCCGCTGGGGTTGGGGGGTCTTGTTGGTTGCTCCTGGGTTGGGCTGTACAAATGCACCTGGTACATCCTTGGGAAAGAAGCAAAAAGGAAGCATTATTTTTAGTGTACATCTTACAATGAATAATAGAGACTTTGTTGAGAGCTGGGCATATTTAGCTATATAGGATTTTCAAGGATTTAATTTGTTCAGGTTAAGACAGAACCTGTTGATGTTGACTGCTAGATGTAGAGAACTGGCTTGCAAATTTTGCTATGCTATTCCTGTAAAGAAGATAAAAACAAGTACACAAAGTAGTTTTTAGTGCTACTGTAATGCACACTCCACTCAAAACTAAAACTTGTAGTCAGCCACTATGCTATGAGTTAGTCCATCTATTCTGGACTACCCTACTACACCATGTAGTTGTCTGGGAATGTTTACCAACTGAGTTCAAAGTCCTGGCTATGTGGTCCTATTGGGGAATGTGGGTTCCTGTAGGGACAACAACAGGGCACAAAGAGGTGGTACAGTCAGATGTTGTCTCTAACAATACCACCTCAAAACTCATGGGGGAAACATCTAGAAAGATTGAGGATTTTCTGTTCACCAGCATTAAAACTACATGCTCAGGGTAACTTGTACATGTAATGTCCTTGTATATAAATTGGTCCCCATATATAATGAAGTCAATTATAATCATGATCATGTGGACAAGGTTCAAGATGTTGCTATTTGACCTCTTTAACCCATACAGGCACACCTTCATTGTGATTTGGAATGCAAAAAAAATTGCATTGCTGTCTTAAGTAAAAGCATAGAAACTATCAGAACTAGAAACTTGGCACAAACATTCTGTTTTAGAAAATAAAGCTTACAAATGGCCTACAGCATTTTATGCACACTAGTAAATACATATAAAAACTAAATCAACTTCTGATCATTGATTTTTTTTTATATTGATATGATTTTGATCATACTGTTAAAAATGTTTGACCTCACCATGCGTGGTTTGAACTGCGGTGTCTTGTCCGCGTACCCAGGGTTTGAGAACACGCCGTCCGCTCCCATCCCGCCCTCGTAGATGAGGTTGTCCACGATTCCTGCGTTGTCACCAGCATATATCACATTGTCCACTGTACCCTCAGTAGGGTGGGGGTGTCCATTCTGTAAACTACTCATGGTCACCTGTGATTGAGTAATGTTATATTATATTATTGTAACATCATTTAAAAGTGTATGCATGTATTTCTCAACTAAGTACTACATGTAAAAAGTACTCTGATGAAATCCTATTAAGATTAATGACCGTTTAAGGAATATTATACCCTTTAGAAAAATGCAACTCTATTCTAACCATTAGTCAATAGTATTTCAATGATCATAATGCTAATACATCATACATACCTCCCATTCTAGTATTTCTATGCTTATTGTTTTGTGACTGTCAATTAATTTGAGACACTGGTGTACTTGAAAATAAAAATGGCAATTTTATTTATGATAATGATAAACTTCACACCTAGAATTTAAGCACTTACCCCTCTGTTGTTGCCTTTTTCAGTACTGTTGAAAGAGAAATATAGAAATATTAAGTAAGAATATTTGTATATCAGGTTTTGCTGAATCTTGCACATGTCAGCATCAAGAATCATCAACAAATCCATATGTGCAACAAATTTAACATTGTTCACAGTTCAAGATGAGGTTAATGCTAAGTAACAAAGACTATAACTTGATACGTACTTGTGCCTGAACTTCCTGCGCCACAGTATAAAGACAGCCACACCAGCGATGATGAAGATGACTGCTGCACCACACACCCCTCCCACGATTGCTGGGGTGCTACTTCCCTGTCTTTCCATCATTCCTGAATATACAACAATGGATTCATATCATTCAACAGATAGATGAGACCCTATCTCACCTCTGAGTTAATTAATTACAAAAACAGCACATAATCTTGCAACTTACAATTTTTTTTTTATTATTGATGATTACCCAGTGTTTTTTTGCTAACCACCTGGTGATAAGTCCATAATTGCCTACTACATTTATACCATATACCTGAAGGTAACTTAACATTTCTAGGACCTTTGTGCCATTCATTGCAATTGGCAATTACAAAATGCTGCTGAATATGGATGACACAGAATGTAGGTATTACATGTAGTAATGTTAGATGTGAGTAAAGCAAATATTGTCCTACCAGGCCTATAAGAAGTTGATGTAAACTTTGTTGTTCCTTGAGTCTGTCTGCTAGTAGCAATGTCAGTTTGCTGTTCAGTACTGTCTTTCGACACTAAAGTTGCAGTAGTTACTGCCACTGTGGTAGTAATAGGCACCCTAGGCCTAGTGGTGGTGATATCTGCTATATGTGGAAATAAACGCCAAATTATGTTTGGCTGCTCAGCAATAGAGTCTTACATTTATTCAATGTCATGTGAGCCAAGTGTCAATCTACTGCATTCCAATGAAACAGACTGATATTTTGTAAACGTTCGATTTTTAAATCTAAAGATTTTAATGTAATAGAATTTGATGTTATAAAAAAAAAGGGGCATGTTTCAAATTTGACAGGTCTTTGAAGGCAAGGTTACTAGAGCACTCACGGCCGAGTTCAGTCAGTTCAGAAGCGACATTTGTATCGAGTTACCTGGAGATTTTGCAGTTGCCTTGGGCCGTTGCTTTTTACCATCTTTACTAACGACCTGCCACTTACCGTGACGGAGACTATCCCCGCCATGTATGCAGACGATACATCTGCATATGCGTGTGCGCCATCAATTGAGACAGTAACGGTCAAACTACAGACGGATATGAATAACATATGTGAATGGGTGCGTTCAAACAAACTTTTCTTGAATCCAAAAAAGACGAAGTGTATGTTGCTTGGTAGTAGGCCCAAAATGTCAAAGAAACTTCAACTCACCTTATCTGCTGATGGGAGCCCAATACAACAAGTAACGACTATGAAGCTACTTGGTAGCACATTAGATGAATGTCTGACATGGGACTTCCATATAGAAAATACTATTAAGAAAATGGCTCGATCCTTGGGGGTTATTAGAAGAAGTGCAGCATATCTGGACCCGGCGTTGCTGAAACTGTTGGCTGAGACACTTACCCTGACACACTTGGACTACTGTACAGCGGTTTGGTCCCCTACCTCACAAAAGAACATCACCGCACTCCAAGTAATGCAGAACAAGGCAGGGAGACTTGCACTGAGAACTCACCGGACATCGGTGAAGCACATGCACAGTGTGCTATCATGGCTGACAGTTGGTGACAGACTCTATGTTAACAACATGTGTACCTTCCACAAGTTGCTTTTCTATAAGCAACCAACAACACTTTACAGTAAACTGCAGCTTGTATCTAACCAGCACGGTTACAGTACGAGATCTGCAGCTAGGAATAATTTTAAGCTGCCAAAGCCAAAAACATCGGCAGCTACTAAATCTTTCCTCTACAGATGCTCAAAACTGTATAACACACTTCCATGTCATATCAGAAAATCAATACCTACCAGTTTTAAAACTCTTATCAAAGACAGACTGAAACAAGCTATACAGAATTGACAGTAAACTAAGATTGAATATTAATATTAATTGTATATATACTGTGTATGATGATGTAAATATGATGATGTATATATGTATGTGTTTTGATGTTTTGTAACGTTTAT